CCTGGCAATTGCAGATTAAGTCTGTTGTTCTAGAACATTCCAGCACTTGATTCCAGAATTCCAATTGGCCAACGCAAAAAAAACACATTTCTGCAAAATGGTAATTGTTGCCTCTTCCAATGATCTCCTGAAAACTGTGGCTTTGCAGCACACGGTCATCCATTTTTGTAACAGACTTCTTGCTAGGTTCTTCCAGGTCATGTTTATAACATATATTACATTTACATATAATATATGTTATTTCCATGCGCACAAAGCAAGACTGATTTCGCCTCATCAATCGCCTCAAAAAAAAAAATCCATATATAAGATGATTACTCCATAAAGACTTCCCCACTGGATGAGGGGAAACAAAACAAAAAACAGAAGAAGGTGTGCATGGGCTTTGTGATATGAAAAGTGACTTCATACATCCGTACTGTCCATGCTGTAAAAAAAAAAAAAAAATCTATTTGGCAAAGACTGGCAGAATTAAATAGATTTCTGGGTTGCAATATGCTTTACCTTTACTAAACATGTCCTTTTTTTTTATAGTGAGCCAAAAGTGAAAAGTAGTTTGTTTCCATCTGGCCCAAACATGATGCAAAAGAAGTGCTTTCAGCCTTGTAGTGTGCAAGAGCAAGTATACACTTACCGTGTCACACAAAAGTAAGTTAGGGCACTGGTCTGACTTACTAGAGCCATCCGTAAGCACGTACAGCAGTGCCAACGCAGCAGGAGGCTGAAGTCAAACCAAAGACAGAAAGTGGATTAGTGTTTGCACTGATTTGGAGGAAGCCTCCTGTGGGTTATGTCCTACAGGTACACCAGGGGGCTGTGTTTCCACAAGTGTCCGTCAGACCACAAGCCTGGATCAGCAGGCTGAGGACTGTGGCAGAGGTAGCGCTCGCTCGTTCTTGCGCCCCCCATTCATGTGTGCGTATGGTTGTCTCTCATCAAAGCTTGCCCTGAGGACAACTACGCCAGGACCGTTTTCTGCCTTGTGTCCCACATGATGTTCTGATGTCTGCAAGGTACAAGATGGGTCCAATGGAATGCTTTCCATGTTTTCTGCCTCTAGGTCTAATTCTTCCGTGTCTGGCGGTTTGTTCTCTTCGCTGTAAAAGAATGACACCTCCCTATAGGATGGCTCAAGCTCATCTTTAATGCTGCTGATTATCTCCAGGAAAGAGGGTCTCATTTTAGGGTTGTATTGCCAGCACATGCGCATCAACTCAAACCTAGAAAAAAAAAAAAAAAGAACAATATCAAGAATAAGAAATAACCAGATGCAAAGCAAGGGAAAACTAAATCCCAGGTGAGTCATGAGCAAGATGAAAGGCAGTCCCTGGTGTTCAGAACGACACCTTGAAGCCAAGCTCCTGGTCGTCCAGTGAGTAAGCTTATTTTAAGCAGCAGCTTTGCCTCAGTCCTTTGATAAGGGCCACCATCTCTCCTCATGGGGCCTCTAAGAATAGGAATTCAGCACTGGACAGAAAACTGAACATGGCTAAATTTCTGCCAAAGAATTCAATTCCTACAGACAGTTCAGGGAGAACTGTGATAGCATGCGTGATAGCAAGCCATCTAAGTGCTACCAATGGGACAACAGGAGAGATACCAAATCAGAGCAACTTCCTAAGCCTGCCCCAAATTCCTTTTTGTATGTAGCTCTCAAAGTTTGACAATATCACAGTGAAAACAAACAGGCTTGAGATGAAATGTCTGACTTACTGTTAATGGGTGACAGGTACACATTACGTATTAATAATACTGCAGGATGTAAATATAGCATTTTAGGTATTTCCTGACAAACACATTCACAATGCTAAAGTGATAGCAGAATTCCTAACTGATCTTCTCTAAGAGGTGCCTAGAAAACAATTTCCTACACACATAAAATACTACTAAATGTATCACATGTCTGAGTGTGAAGGTGTTGGGCTGTACGTATGTAGTTTGTTTCCTTTAGCCATTTATTCATTAATAGCAAGTTAAAACGACAGTCCCCATGATTACGCCCCAGCATGTTCCCGTCAGTGATCTGTTTTCCTGTAAGAGTCTGTGCTGCACACAGATCTCTCCTGTACCCTCCTGGCCCCTTCACGTGGGGTCCACATTGGGGAAACAAGGCTGAGCTGGGAAGCCAGACGTCTGACGTGTACACAGAGCTCTGTCACTTGACGCTCTCCGAGCCATTCCGCACTGACCATGCATCCAGCTCTTGCCATAAATGGAAACCTTTTTAATCCCCCTCTTCCCCTCCCGTGTGGATTTAATACCTTGTTTACTGAATCTCAAGGAGGAGCTGCCTCATGCACAGGGGAAAGAAATCATGTGCACACAAGCACACCAGCCCCCTCCCCAATAACACATGCTTTGGAGGATGGAGATTGCTTTCACCCTCTCATACATTTATAAAAGGACAGAAGGTGAAATGTGGTGTTGTGGAGATATAGCAATAAAAATGACAACAGTGCACGTGCTACCAAGTTTACATATGCCCAGTAAATGAGAACAAAAATACGCTTTCATAAAATTATATCATGATAAATCAAAATACATTACAGCAAGGCCACTGTGGCTCAATATACATTGAACATGACGGCCATTTTGTCAACACAGGCCAATTATTTTAGCTTTCATTGTAGTGCTGGAAGATGAAAGCTGACAAATGTTATCTATGGCCAAGGATTCTACACGAGCACTTATTTTTGTCTAATTTATTGTGTGTCTTATTTATAATCATAGAAGAGTCCATGAACCCATCGCACTCCTGACCGCTTACTCCACAAGAAGATAAAATGGGTGCTGTGGTGATCAACGGGTGGCAGCCATTACATACATACGTAGAAACAGGGACACCGGCACTCCAGTTGCGATGCAAAAAACGTCTATTTATAGACGTGGTGCGGCATATCATACAAATGCAACTAACGTTTCGGGGTAACACAGGATCCCCTTCCTCAGGCAAACTACATATCTTTGCCTGAGGAAGGGGATCCTGTGTGACCCCGAAGCGTTTGTTGCATTTGTATGATATGCCGTACCACGTCTATAAATAGATGTTTTTTTCATTGCAACTGGAGTGCCGGTGTCCCTGTTTCTACTTATTTATAATCATGGTTCGTCATCTTGTTTTGGTAAAAGTCTAAATTAGCATGATAATTAGAATGAGCAATTAATGGTAACTTGGGAAGATGCTCGCCACTTTTTATATTGTGGCTCCAAGGGCCAATAAAGTGTTTACTGGAGCACAACCACTGTTTTGAGAGGGAAAAAAATGTTTCCCTTAGTACCCCAGTTATAGGGAACTAATTTGGACTTTGAATGAGACCTTTAACCCTTTCGCTGCCAAGGACGTACGGCATACGGAGCTACAAAAGTGCTTCCAGCTGGCCAGCTCAGTATGCCATACGGACCTGGCATTTACAGTTCTACTATAAGCTGATGGTCGCTTTAGCGACCATCAGTTTATAGTAGAACTGTTCAGCAGACTGTCCCCTTTAAATTAATAGCTGTCATCAGCGGCTCA